GATCACACAAGCCATCTCTCCCTAGAAAATTAACCTGAAATGCAGAGAAATTTCAATGGGTAATATTTCTAATTTAACTTACATTCACTGGTGGACTTCACAAAACCCAAAACTACTTGCTTCCCATAGTTTTTGCAGTTTGCTCTCCTCTGGCTAAGCCACTTAAAAGTAGTGGAGGTTTAGATGTCTCATGATTCGTGGTTCCTTGCTAGATTTTCTCCAGAAACGTTCACTGACTCCCACTACTCCTTTTCACCCTGCCACCATCTGCAACAATTCAACAGCCCTCCAAATATGACAGAGCTATTTATTTAATTTTCGTACTTTTTGGGTTTCCCCACCCTAAAATGCACATTGCTTTACTGATCTGATTTTGAACCAGACCCTTCAAACAGTTGCTTTTGCAACAGTATGAAGTATTGGCAAGTGGTACTAGGGGTAATAACAAGTCCCTGGATATGGAGAAAGAAGCAGGAGTCACTTGAAGAGGTTTTTCTGCCACATAAATTGTAACATGGAGCCATGCCCCAGGATCCCTTGCTGGAGCGGTTCTACTTTGCCTCACCAATTGATTATTCATGAAATCACTAAAAATGACTGTAGGCTGGTGATTTCAGTACTTCTCTGAGAAACGGGACATCCCAGTTCTTTTCCCGGCCTTAAAGAACAGTAATTTATGACTAATACATCTGCTTAATACGTCTTCATTTTGTGAATGCTATTTAAGCTCCACTGCAAATTAGGACCTTTATTTCCAATTTTTCTTTTAGTAGAAATGGTCAAAATAAATTATGATTTTGGATGCCTCAAACCTGGGTACATCTCATGCTCAGACCGATTTTTTAAAACTTCAGCATCTGAGCCAAAAATACACGTTAATAAAGTTCTGCAATAAAGGGGGCTACTTGAGCATATATTCTCCAAAATATGCCATTTCAGCATTCACAAGTGTGCTTGTTTTCCATTTGCTCAGGAAAGGGTTATCTGACCCTTTCTGGCAGCCTGCTCAATCAAGTCAACTATGCATAAATAAGAACGAAATTTATGTGGGAAGAAAATGAAATTAGATGAATAATTAACATATACTTTATGCAAAAGCATGAAAAACTGTTCCAAAATTTCTCTGCTTAACTAATGTGTGAATTCATATAAAAATATTCTGCACTGAAACTTTGTCAGCAGGTCATGAAAAGCACTTCTCTACTTGTTTAAGAGGTGTAAGATTTACATCATGTGTTTCATTTCTTAATGAATGATACATTTTTTTCCTCTTAGTCCTTTTAAGTGTGTTAGTTCTGTAGGTTTGTGAGCCAACAGTAATGGAGACATCCCAGAAGTTGAAAATGGGTGCAACTTCACAGCATCAGCAATCAGTATTTTGAAGATGTTTCCTAAATTTAGGACAAAACCAGAGAATTATGAGCTTTTGTGTCATTATCTTCCTGTAAGATTTCCTTAGTGTTATCAAAGGATGAAATAAACAGAAAAAGAACTGATCTTTGAAGAAGATCTAGTCTGATTATCAAATTTTAATTTCACTGTTTCAGGCCATGACTACTGTAGCTGCCTGTGCTCATGCAGTAAAAACCAGTCTATATTTATAACAGTATCAGAGTAATCTATTTTTTTTTATGGAAACAGCTGGATTATAAGTATTTATTGCACAGTTGCATACTTAAGATTTCGTTTGCTGGAGTTATGTGTGTGACAGGGCAGGATTTACCTGGTAAAGTCCATGAAGCTTATAATGGGAATCTAAAAATAATCTGAATACTGTTCTGTTTTTTGGAAAGCAAACTGCAGAGTGGTCAGCTCCCAAATACAGCCTTAGCACTTTCCAGAACTTTAATGGGAGTTGCTAATACAAATGCCTAGAACGCTTGGATAATTATATATGTTCACTCTATAAATACCCAAAATACAAAATGGCATTGTTCCAAACCCCTGTATTTCTATCTTTCAGATACTATTCAGGCACATTTGGACATAGTAATTATTTATACAATGATAGATAGCCGCAGATCTAGAATTCACTCATGGGGCTTAGGTCATTTCATGAAAGGCAAAAGTATAGTGCGTTATTCTGTATGCATAATGTACAGCATATTTATATTTAATGCTAACATTATTTTTCTATGAGGAAAATGTTTCTATGAGGTTCACTTCCTGTTCAGAATATTGTTTATGTTGTATGGATTTTCATTTTGAGATGAAAGAATGCTAGTTTCCCAAGAAACAAGCCGCTTTTGAGGATCTTTCTTTATTTCCTTCCCTTCCATCTCTTCCTTCCTCTCCTTCCTTTCTTTTATTGCTTTTAACAAATAAATTGTTCAGCGGTAATATAATGATAATAATTTTTTTTGTGGACAAACTTGTCTAGCAATATTTATCAATATAATATGGCTTTAATACCAAGGTTAAGAGATTATAGCAGAAATACAACACTAACTTTGCATTCCAGTGAGTACCTAAATTAATTTTAAAGTTTAGAACTTCAACCTATAGCAGCAGTAGAATCTCATTAATCCACACGAATAAGTGGGCACCATATATTTATGCTGGCTTTTGGTCACTTCATGTAGTCACATCAAGTATGTCAGAGGAGGAGTGAGTAGCGATATATGTGGGAAATCACCTGAGGATGAAAACAGAGAGGCATATTCATCTCAGTGTATTGTGAGGATTTTTATCTATAATGTTTATTAAAGCTCAAAGAGGAGATATATTGTAAATCTGGGTATTGAGCTAAGGCTGTACACTGCAATCAGCTTTTCAAAAAATGCCTCTAGATAAAGCGCTGTGCTGACCCTTCTCTGGATCATACTCTGCATCAGGAAGTATATTATCCCTATAAATATCTCCTTTCTTTCTTTAATTTTACTGCTAGTATACTAGCAGGAGTTAGCTTTTAGTGGGAAAATGTGTTCATGCCGCTCCTGGCCCAGTGTTGGGGAGGAGCATCTCCTGCAGGTCACACCCAGCATTTGGGGACACTGGTGCTCCTTAGTGCCCAAACGGTGCTACCTTTTTGCTGCAAGGAGGAGGTTTATGGCAACACTGCTACAGGTGCCGCAAAACAGGAGTTTCCTAGATGGTTCAAGCAGGCTGACAATCCTGCAGCAAGCTGTCACCTGCCATTTTCTCAAGCGGGTAGTTAACTCCTCCTTACTCCTCTCGGAAAACAGAGGCTCTGCAAAGTGTGGGAAGGGATGGCTGCGTGCTCCAATCTCTTGCGTTGGGGAGGCAAGACTTCAGCTGTCTTGCTTTTCCCTGCAAGGTTTCTGGTGCACAGAACTCGGGGTCATTTTTAGTCACCAAAATAGAGCCGATGTCCCCTTGGACTGATTCTGCATACTCAGCGTAATGCCACCAACAGTAGCACCATGCCAGGAGATTCATAGAGACAGAGAAGGAGGCAGGCACAGCTGACTTTATGAGGTGTTTTCTAGCTTTTTGAGGCTAAAACCTGTTGTTTGCCATCATGTCCACAGAAGGGCTGTGACCACCTTCCCCAAAGTCCTCTTATTAGCCAGAAGAGAAAGATGTGGGAGCTCAGAAAGCCAGCGATAAGTGACAAAGCCATGCCTGATGGTTTCAGTGACTGTTAAGAGCAGAACTGTATCTGTAACAGTGGCCATACCCCTTTCTGCTCCAGCAAACTCAAAGCATAGTTTCAGTATGCCTGAGAGTTTACAAAAGGAGAAGAAAACAGAATTCTTTTATTTCATCTATATAACATTATATTTATGTATACTTGTGTGTACGTAGATATTATCTATACATCTTACTGTTACACAGTGATCCCGGTCAGCCGAATGTAACTATGATATCATGGAATCACACATCCTTGACATTATCAGAGGCCCTTCTATCATCTTTATAGACTTGCCCTCTCTTCTGTGTAAATATTTTTCCTGGCTTTCCCTTTTGCAAAGCAAAGAAGTTGTTTGCAAACTATTTGTAGAGTATAAACAGCTCCTAGAAGGGAAATGCCCTTGAAGCAGTGAGAGTAGACTGATTGCACCATACAGTGCATGCTAATAGCATCTTCAGAGAATTAGTATTACTTCTTAGCAGAGGCGTTTTCATTAAAATAGAAATCTTACCATGATCCTTAGATTGAATTTTTACCTTCTTTTGCATATTTCAGTTGAGTCAACAGTCACAGGTTGCTGGTTCATTGTTCAAAAGCTCCAGGGAATTACTCAGCCCTATAGTAGTGCCATTTCCCATGATTGCCTCTTTGCAACTTTTGTGAAGCACCCGGCAACAGAACAGGCAAACGACCAGCACAGAAAGCTTGAAATCTGGCAGTATTCCTAGCACTCTGCACAGAGTTAGTAAAATGAACCTGCTAATACATTGTTATATCTATTACAGCTTGCTCACGTTGGATGTTAATCGAGTATTCATAGTAAATTCAGAAACTGATGTTTGAGACTGAACAATGATCTTTCAGGTTGCCTGATACCTTTATCTGACCGAATTCATGCAGAGGAACTTGGCGCTGCTGCACTTTATCTTCCTTTTTATTTCTGGTGCAATAGGATAGGAATGAGAGGAAGAGCATATATAAGGGTTCCCCACTGAGAATCAATTCTATAAATTATGTATTATGCAGACACTATTCTGCTGATGCTATCTGATCCCCAATTCTCAGTTCCTTGTTTCTCCTTCTATAAATAGCTATGGCCAGGTTTTCAGTTGTAAAATGACGAGGGCAAAACCAGGAACCTTTCCCATTTAATAACCTCTGCCAAAGAAGAATAAGGTAATATTTTTGGTAACTGTGATGTCCTCAGGGCTTTAACAATCTGGGAATACAAGCAGCACTATGTTGTTGATAAGATACTGGTAGTAAAAGTGGGAATAACCATACTGAATATTAAAGAGGGAAATGCCCTATTTTCAGGATGATGCGTATAAAACTTGATATTGTGAATTTTCCTGTTATTTTTTGTCTGTGTAGGACCACTTTTGCTTTTTCTTTCTCCCTCTAGATCCAAACGCTTTGGCTGGACAGACCGGACCTGACCACGCTCTTATAGGAGGAATAGTGGCTGTAGTTGTCTTTGTAACACTATGTTCTATAATTCTCCTTGGTCGATACCTGGCAAGACATAAAGGTAGGACAGATTTAGTGGAAATTCAGTCTCTTTTGGAAGCAAGGAATGGTTTCACCTGGGAGTGCTGTTCCCTTTCGCCTTCCCCCATCTGCTAAATGATTTGGACAAGAAAGCTCAGTTCACAGTCCAGTCGCAAGCGAAGTCCCTGGGAATGTTACCATTTTCCAGTGGACTGGCTAAGGCAAAAGACATCTAGTTACATGCCCAAGGTCATCTCATAAGTCAGTGATTTAGAGAGACTAAGAGGTAAGATTGCCCCTTGGTTTTGGCCCTTAGCTCTAGACGCTTAATTATATGATCTCATAGTTTTGACTAGTATATCAATTCAGCAGAATATATATATATACACTGAGTGAACAAGATTTTTCATTTTAATAAATTGTGCTAATACTTTAGGTATGTATTTAAAGGATAACATTAGAAGCCAGTGGTGAGTTTTCAGATCAGTGACTCTTTTTACCAATGATCCCACTGGAATAAGGGTTTCATTCCTGGGTCAAGCTTTACTTTATTCAGAGATTTCACCTTAAGAATTCTACTCCCTTCATTTTCAATCCCCCCCTGCCATTAGAGATAACAGGGATGGAGGGACGCTGACTTCTGACTAAGCTTCTCTATGATGCTATTTTGACCTATTTAATTCCAAAATCATTTATTGAGATGTAACCTCTGAATGGCTTGTAGACCTATTGTTAAAACTCAGTTGATTCCCTACCCCGTCCCACTCCCAATGCCCCTCCCCCCCCCCCCCAAAAAAAAAAAGGAAAACAAAGAGAGGATTAGTGTTGGTATTAACTCATTAAGTCTCATTTTACATAGGATAATCATATGGCTAGCAGACATAAACTGATAAAAACGTCTTTTTAATTTGATTGGACTGTCCGGGGGGAAAATCAAGCTTTTTTTAATGAACCAGTGAAAGTGTGTCTCTTTTTATTTACTTTCCTGAATGAACAGTTATACATCTTATGCCAACATAAATAATGCTTTTCCCAAAGGGAAAGTTGGCTATTGTACACAATTATTTTTATTCATATCCTGAGCATAAAAATATCTATGATAGTATAATGTGAGTGTGTTCAGTTAATAAAACTACCTCAATTTTGTAATTCTTGGAAACCACTATGATACAATTCTGTAAAATTAAAGTATAGATATGATCAAGAAAAAAAATAAATACAAAAATAATCGGTGGTAATTTTTTTAAAAAATAACTGTTTAAGAATGTCTAAGTCTTCAGACTTGGTTTGGTTTTTATGGGTAGCTGTTCCATGAAATAACCAAGACTTTATCGCTTATTCTATAATTGCAAAATATACTGCAGTTAGATAAAGTGGATTTTTATTAAAAGATTTCCTTAATTTATTGTGAATATACTTGAATTTGTCTATGCACATTATCAACATTATCAGTATTAATACTATGAATATTTCTCAGACAAATTAGAAAGTTGAGCATACCTGTATGATGTATACTAAAAGTGTGTAAAACTGTTCATTCACAAAGCAATTGGAGCATTGTTAGAAATGTACTTCCTATAACGCAGCATAAAGTTAAAAAAACCTTAATCTTTCTTTTTTTTTTTCTTTTCTGTTGTACTGATTCCTTTAGGAACATATTTAACAAACGAAGCAAAAGGAGCTGAAGATGCACCTGATGCCGACACAGCCATTATCAATGCAGAAGGCAGCCAAGTCAATGCAGAGGAGAAAAAAGAGTATTTCATTTAGATGCAGAGCTAAAATCTTGGAGTTTTACTTATCAGGCTGACTGCTGGAGAAAACTGGCTATCATTTCTCAGAATTCATTTCTGCCATCTTCTGCTATCTTTATTAACTCACATACCTGCTATCAGTAGCCAGTTTATGCCAACAATCAGCTGTTGACATCATCATTCTATAATTACAGTATCATGCGTAAAGCAGGACATTTCTTATTGCCTAAAATTCATATCCACTGCTCTCTTAACATACAGTGCTTGAATATACAGCCTTAACAATGTTAATCATCATCTTAACCCAAGTTTTCTACATTTCTAAATGTTATGCAGCTTTCTTCTTTTTTGGTTTTCTTTTATCATGTCCCTACTAGTGTGTCATAGAACAACATTCATAACAAGTACTATTAGGTAAGGACCTAATTTACTTACATAAAATGTTAAGTCTAAGATTAGAGGTTTACAAAGAATGTTTTATACATGTCTGTCTATAATTCAAAAAGCAACTTGTTTTTGAAACATGCCCCAGGAAACACAAAATGAAATCTTTTTAGTATAGTTTCTTGTATGCTTGGATTTGGTGGAAAAAAACTATCACTCCACTCAATTTTTTGTTTTGTTTTGCTTTGTTTTGTTATGTTTTAAATGGTACCTTGACAACAGTGCCATGTTTCAGTTGTAAAAACATGCTGAATAACCATACAGATTCTGCAAAGTTAGATAATAGTGCTTCATTTGAAACAAATTTGTCCTGCCCTTTTACTGCTTTTTGGGATCCCCAAAAAAGTTTTTGGGAACTTTCTGAGTAATTTCTGTTTTTATAATTTATTTGCTTCACATGAACTCACCTGCCTACTCAAATTTGAAGTGTTCATGGGGCACAACTGCAAGGCATTTTAGTATCTGTATATAGTGCATATAATAAATTCAATTAAACATTATTTGATACATATTTAACTTTTTCGGCAGTAGCTAAGTCAGTCACAAGTAAGCATTTTCTAATGTCCATTATATCCCTTTAGATATGACTCAAATCAATATTCTGGGTAGATAACATGTATTAGTATTTTTTTGTCTGTATGTCCTAGCACTGTTCAGCAGCAAACTTTTCTAGTTCTTGTTAATTTTTGCTTTGTTATACAATGGAAGCACAATGTTATATGGAAAGGTAGTTTTAAGCTAACAACCAGTGCACAGCCTCAGGTTTTAAATTACAACCACATTTGATTACTATCCTTAAAAAATACTATTGAGTTGCTAAAATTCTCAATTTTTAATTTGGCAGTTCCAGAGCTGCTTCTCTATGTTGGTTTGCCAAAAAAAAGAAAAAAAAAAAAAGAAAAAAATAGAAGTGTTAAAACAAAAGATATATGTTTGTGTATACAGTAAATGGACTAATTCTTTATATTAAATTCCTGTCTATGCATTTTGTGAGGTACAAACTTATGTCACCGTGAATGATAGAGAATTCCTGCCATGCTTTTAGCTCCACAGTGAAAGTCTCTGTTTGGATTATTTCTGAAATTTTTTGTGTAATTGACAGCTGAAATATCACATGCTCTTAAATATGACAACAAAACACTGTAAGCCCATCGGCTTATTTCCTCTTCCAATGAAATAAAAAGGTTGCCATAACAGCTCTTGGAAATGATTCTACACTGGAGAACGCAAGTTAGTCTAGCCGGAGCTTGTCTTGCTCCTAAGTTTTGCACCTTTGACAAAAGAGTATTTCTCTCTGGTTGCTGTACTTGTGAAGCCTAAAAGCATGATGGTCTGCCGTAAAGGACTTTCTCCTGGGATTTTATTTTTGTGTGGGGAAGGGAGAGTTTGGAATATGACATCATGTAGTATGGTAAAATGGAAGATAAAGGTGCTGTGTCAGATTATTTATCAGAAGAGTATAAACCTTTTAAGGACAATATTAGAGTATTTTAATTGTTTTTGTTGAAACATTTATCTTGTTAATTTCTAAGAAAAAAGGGTGACGTCAATCAAAGCAGCACTTTTTTTCAAAATATACAGACATAAATAATATGATGTGGTTGAGTGTTAACATAATAAATCATATACAGTATGACATTTTAAAGAAATAAGTCTGCATTGATGTGATTGCATGCTTGTTTTTACAGTTCACTCCATACCCATCTGTGGAAAAATGCAATAATATGTTAATATAATATGGTAGCTTGAGAGAACCAGGTAGGTGCTACTAGACACATTGAAAACTAGTATAGGTTTACAAGATATTCATGTCTTTCAAAACATACACATGTAAAAGGCTGGCAAAGGAAGTCATTGAGTTTAATACCAAAAATATGGGTTCTTGTCACAACAGTAACTTACATTAGCTACAGTACAGTATCACATAAGACAAGGTTTTAGTTCAGGACCTGGGGCCCACTTCAGCCGAGCATTTAAGCACATGCTCAGCTCCAGGTGTTGGAGAAGTTCCATTGGACTGTAAGGCACTATTCATATGCTTAAAAGTAAGTGCTTCCCTGGATGAGGGCCTTATTTGCTCAAGTGGAATTCCCCACCATCGTGGTGTTTACGCCTTTTTTCATTCTTCCTAACTCCAGCTGGCTTGAATAGTAGTGTTGTTACTTGAACCATTACCCAACCAAGGTCAAGTAGGACCTTCAAAAGCAGGATTGTCCTTGGGGTAACCATTTCAAACCATTTTCTCCAGTGGCATAGAAACAGCATTTAAACTTTGCAAAAGGAAATATAAATTGTACTGTTAAAATAGGTTTTTTCATTGGTTTTCCCTTATCTTGCACCTGGTGATGTCTGCCTCTGTGTGAAAAGCAGGTGTGAAAAACCCCACACCAAGCGTAGCGTTCTACCTGGATAGCACTTTGCAGGCCTGTCTGGTCTTCATGGGTTTAAATTACTACACTGGGTGTAAAGAGGCATCCCTCTTTTTTGTAAGCAGAACCATGGCTCAACACTGATGACCTTCAGTAGGCTAAGCGCCAGTTATCCATCTCCTTTGTCCAAGATCCCATTCTGAAATACCGCTTTTATTATGGTGTGAGGTATCCAGCGAATGTGTAAAATGGTGACTCTGAATGGGAACCATCCTCGCTAAAATGTGTGTGACATCCTCTCCCACACGCACTTGCAGAGTAGTTTTCTCAAGACCAGGTAGCTAGTTTCTGCCAGTGTACTGTTTACAGTGTCGATTGCTGATTATTTTTAAACTTTTTGATGTAGATTTTCTTTTTTTTTAATGCTTCAAGAACATTCTCATGATTTGAACAAGAAAGCGGTGCATCAGAAGACAAGGGATGCATCATCCCACTCTTTTAGTGTCATCTGCAAACCAAGTAACAGTTTAAGGAACCTGATGTTGTAACTTGAGGCTCAGAAATTAAGCTAGAACACTTTAAAAAGTTTCCACATTGCTTAAGGATGGTTCGTCTTGCACTGAGACTCCCTGAATAAAGGAATACATGAAGAAAACCAACTTTTCTAAATAAGACGTGAAAGTTAACATCTTGTGTATTTTCATTACAGTATAATATATATATGACTATTTCAATGAAAAGAAAGGACAGAATCATCTGTAATTATGTAATTCATGATTGTAACAGCACTGAAGTTACCATGTACGCACATGTACAGTAGCTTTTTCAACAGTTACAGTGTAGTTACATGCAATTCCCTGTAACATAGCAGTTATAGTGTAATTTAGTGCCACTTACTGTAAAGTGTTACCAAAAGGAAAATGGAGTTCTTACCTTTACAATTGCATTCAAATTAAAGGTAAGTTTATTAAATTAGCACCATAAATCTGATACTGCATTTCTTAATTAAGGAGGTGATTTAAAACTTCATGTTCACACTGCAGCTTCCCCCACTGCTTACCCAAACTCCTCCAAGTGTCTAATCTCTACACTCCTAGGAACTGGCAATCTATGATGAACATACCAAAAATCCAGCTACTTCAACTTTAATTGAATAAGCTGTCTAATAGAGAAAAGCAAACAACAACAACAAAAATAACGAGTAATGCTTTTTATTAAGTGGCACAAAGTACACACTAAAAACTATGCAAAAATATAGGTAAATACAGTGTACTTACATGTAAGTATCTTGTACTTGCTGTGTATGGATATTGGAAAACCGTGTAATTATAATATGCATTTTGCTTATTTCAAGCAGGGGGATGACCCCTAACAGTCACAAGGAAAAACTGGAAGGTACATATACAAGCAGTGGATATCCTAATGCAATATGTGTAATTCCTTTTCTTGCAATGACAACTAATTTATAAAAATGCTTATACCAATCCTCATTCTCACTAGCTTTGCTTTCCATTTCTTTGAGGCCCATTAAATATCACTGAAACACCTTTAGGCAAAGTAAGACACTGACTCCGCTAATGGCTTTGCTGCCAGCACTCTGTATGTCTGGCAACACTGTTCTGTAATCTATTTCTGGCTCAACAGCACAAGTTTCCTCTTTTTTTCTGTCCTCAAGGGAGCCTAGTATGTTAAGATGCTGAAATATGCTGCCATATGCCCTGGTATTTTTAGCATGAACAACAGAGAGAGAGAGAGAGAGAGAGAGCTGCATTCTTCTGACCCCTATTTTGCTGAATCACCTCACCTGGAATTTCCACTACTTGCTCAGTAACGCCAGGTAATCTTAAATTGTAAGTACAAAATGCTTCCATCAAAGTATAGAGGATGCCTTTAATGATAAAGCTAACGTTTTGTAAACGTTGAGTTTTGTATTACTGATCTTTTTACTTCTCATCACTTTTCCGTCATACCCTTCCAGAAGTAATGCACCAAAAGACCGATAACATAGAATAGCAAAAGAAGAAATTAATATTGTAAGCCTGCTTGTGGTTGCCATTGCTATAACCCTCCTTTGTGTCCTGTGTAACAGGCAAATAGATGTATTTAGCAACTGCCATTAGCATCATTCCACACTATACTATTCCTAGAATATGACATCTACCTCTTAGTCTAAATACTAGCTATGAGATATTTGTATACATTTTAAATACTGCTGAATCTTTGGTATAGTCTTGAAATGAGATCACTGTATTATTTTTTTTCTGTTAAAAATAGAAAAAAAATATTGCCTGGGTTCATAATTCTTGCCCTGTTCTTTACTAATTTTGGAATAGTTTGAGCTTTTAACAGGGCATAAGGACACAGCCTCAGCTGGTATAAATCAGCTTCACTCTGTTGCCTTAAATGTGGGCCAATTTACACTGGCTGGGGATTCATCCCAAACAGCTTAAAAATAAACTGCTGTAACACATCAATATTTAGTCAGCACTAGATAATGATGTGCAATCCAACTGCAACACAGTTCTTTCCAGTAAGGCATGCAGGTTTGAAGATAAACTTTTAAAAGCACATGCAAGCTTTTGAATTAAATATGCAATACCAATACTGTTGAGAGATTCTGACATGTCTCTTACTTATTTAAACATAATATTACCAGAGCATGTTTACATTAAAAACACTCAATGCATGGGGGACAGGGAAGGACTATTGCGAACAATCAGAGAAAATTAAATGGATAGAGCAGCCTTTGATGACAACAGAGCAGAGTAGAAACTCTTATCAAGAGTAGGACTTCCTACATGGTTTTTCAGAGTGGACCTAGTACCTCTAAAGCAAATGGGAGTTGTCTACTTGGCATTGACAGAAGCTAGCACAGTTCCTTCTTGCTATCGGTGAATCTAACCCAGCACTCTGCACTTGTTTTAACTCAGGAGGAAATAAGGGTACAAACATGGTTTAACAGCACACTTCTGTATCACTCCACATCCTCAGGATGCTCCAAGCTTTGTGCGCTTCCAGCAGCCCTTAAGGGAATTCTTCCAGCATCTAGGAATCATCTTGTTGCCAGGCCATGCTCATTTTCTGCAGCAATGTTTAGTGTATTCACAACCAGACGGAAGATGGTGTGGAGCCAATATGATGACTCCACAGTACTAGGGGCTTCCAGAGACCCTCAGTGGATGGCAAAAAAAAAAATTCTTCATGGCTTCTGTGTTTACTATAGATCTGCCCTCCATGTTCTGTGTCTTAAGTCATTTATTCTGTGCTGGGCTAAAAGCAGCGGTCTAATTGGAAAGGAGGTAGGCAAAAAAAATCTCTCTTCTAAAAGGAGCAGTCTGTGTTACTATGAAAGAAAAAGTTCAAGGATTTTTATTTCTTCTTTTTTTTTTTTTAAGATTTCAGGTGCAAAGCCAAGCCTGTTGGGGTCAGCACTTTAGCACTTTCCCTGTGTTCAGGGTCAAGCCAGCAGTGTTTCATGTGTGAACTCTGATCTCACATTTCAGCACAAACTGCAGACAGCCTTACCCTGCTCTTATGCATAGTGCTGAAAATCACTGATGCTATTTTCTTCTAAACATACTAATTTTCTTAGTCTTATTCTACAATGAAATCATTGAAGGGTTTTCATAATAGGTTCAAAAGAAGGGTTTTAAAGTAATAGCTTGTAAAGAAAATAATAATGATGATCATCAACTGTTGATGTTGATTATGAAGAGGAAGAAAATCTTTAATTGCTGAACTGAATTCTTTATCACTTCCTCTTTCTCTTCTTTCTATGCATATTGATTAATGTTAGTAAATATGCAGTTGTACATGTTGTCCTTTTTCAGTGAAAGCAGATTTGCTTATACCCCTATATAGCTTCCATAGTAATATGCAAATATGACCTACAATCATCTGCTCTGCCTAAACAGTGAGCCAAGAGAGAGAAGTCATGGATTGCTGGATTGATATATGTCCTGCTTCCATAAAAGTTGGGTACAATACGCCTATTGATTTCAAAAGAACAAGGCTCAAGTCCTTAATGCACCTGTTTGAGTTGCTACTTAGCTCTTTTCCAACAGAATTATAAAGCAATCCTTGTGCATCATTTACTTTTAGCCTAGATATTCCTTCAGTTCATCAGGAAGTTTCCTAGAATAAATAGTAAGGCATAATTTGTGAGAGGACTATAACAACTTCATCTATTCATAGTCAGTGTAAGTGTATTCTCCTAGGAACTCCAGTGTACTCTGCTCTTACACTGGCAGTTTATGGCCTTGGGAAAGATATATTTGAAT